GAGTGTCGCAAGCAACTTGTAAATGTGCGGAAATGTTAATTGGTGGTGGTAACGGCAGGTTTTGTTCGTCGGCAATTGTTATTCCCACCTCGCTAAAGCTGCGAAATTTGCTGGTGCATGTGATGTAAGACGCTTATCTTTCGTTCTGATATTTTTTTTTTTTGTATTTCGTGAGATGTGATTTATAGCTGAGGGGGAAATTAATTCTATTGTCGCAGCAGCGCATTTCTAGCTCTAGGTTATATTATGTTTCATTTTGGAAGAGCGCTATTAAATTGTGGTGTATACGAACAATAGTTGTGTAATGACTGGTCACAACTCGACAACAGTTTAGTGTTGTTGTTTGCTTCCTGAGTTAATGATTAGTTTTATTTATGCGTATGTATTTCGAACATGTAGCGTGACGACCTTGATGACTTCTACAAACAAGGAAAATTTTGAGAAAGACGTTTTGTTTTTGCACATATATTATTCTTAATGCCCTCTCCCCTCAAATTGCTTCCTGAGTTAATGATTAGTTTTATTTATGCGTATGTATTTCGAACATGTAGCGTGACGACCTTGATGACTTCTACAAACAAGGAAAATTTTGAGAAAGACGTTTTGTTTTTGCACATATATTATTCTTAATGCCCTCTCCCCTCAAAACAAAAATCCACATGTTTATTAACGGTTGGCATCACTGTAGAAGAAAGCCAACTGATAGCAGCTCTACCATCGAGCCCATGAGTGTTTATGTTTTAAGCCGGAAAACATGCCAATCCTCGCTAAAAAGTTTGTGGAGGGAGGGCTTCATGATTGTTCAAGAAAAGCATACAATACGCTTTCCAGTCGTACGTGTAGCCTTACAAGCTCTGAGGTGCACGTTTCTATCGCAAAGTAGCGGCAGATTCAACATGGCTGCCATCTGCCCGCCACTGGCGGCCAGCTGTAGCCGACTCTTCGTGCAGTAAAAGCGCCAAATAATTGTCGGAAAGTTCATGAAGTTTTTATAGATGGGCAAGTCAGGCGCACGGTACGTTTCCCGGCCGTCCGTGGGCCTTTACAAGCACCGAGGAAGTGATTCCCATCATGACGTGGCTGCGGAATCAACAAGGCGCCCAACTTTCCGCCCGTCCGGCTAACCTTAGCGCCACCTCCTTGGGAACTTTGAGCTGCCTTCTGACAGTCAGGAGGTGTGCCGGAAGCCCTCGCGAATCTAGAGACCTTCGCTCGATGATGGCATAACGACCAGGCGATTAGTGCCGACACCGACCACCGTCGTTTTTGCGGCATTCGCCAGTGTAGGACGCGTGTTTGCCTCCACCGTTTTCGATTTTCAGACATCGGCCGCCGGTCTAAATGAACAGACGACAGTTCATCCTCGACACGCAAGTGTGTCGTGTTTTTTTTGTTTTTTTTTCTCGAAAATTGTTTTTTTTTTTAGTTTAAGAGCCCGTTTTTAATGCTTGTTTACTAGTGCGTCCGAGTCCCACAAGTTGTTCAAGGGGAAACCATTTTTCACTTTCTACCTTTCAGGCCATCAGCCGCAAGCCGTTTTTTCAGTTGTATCACTATCGTTTTTTTTTTTTTCGTCGCAGGTGTAACTGTAGCTAGCAAGTGTTCTCTTTTGTTGAGCGTAAAAAAGCGTTCTGTAGTGAAATGGGAATAGTGTTGTGTAATTAAAAGGCTTTGTTTTAAAAAAAAAGTCCAAGAAGACAGAAGATAGAATTTGCCACTGTATCCGTAGTGCAAAATAAACCAGTTTCTAATCGCAGCCTCTGTGAACTGCTCAATGTGTACTAGATGGTTCGAGTTTTTGAGGTCAGGAAAGTATATTTACTGGCATTATTCAATAAACATATAAAAAGCATTATTATACTACTGCATAAAGGCATTTTAATGCAACTGGAAACTTTTAGTACATTACCGAATACATTGTAGGGCATCTCGAATATATTATCGCCGTACTCTTAGTGCATACCAGCAAATATGTTTGAAATATATGTCAGTAAATGCATTTCGAATGCGGACGAAAATATGAAAAGGTATATGCATAAATGAATACAAAATATGGTTCAAATATAGTAGTTTTTCGCTAAGGAAAGGGACCTTACAAACTTTAGGGTGAAGGGTCCGTTCATCATAATGTAAAAACAGCGCAAACAAACACGGACGAAGGAGAAGAAACACACAGACGGGACAAGCGCTGACTCGCAACTGAAACCTTATTACTTAAAGGAAAAAGAAAATAAGATAAAAACACACATACCAGGAAGACCCTAAATCAGCACTTTCACTGAGACGTGTACGTGTTAGCCCCTTCCCCTATCAGCACCATCACATCACCGCGTGGCCAACCTCTCACTTTCTCGCGCAGAAATTCAAATTCTTTTTGTGAAAGCGTTATTGAGGCCTCACTCACACACCGATCCCCCAGAGTGACAATGTGAAAGGCCTCGAGCACTTCTCCCGCCAATCTATCTTTGTTTCGTCCTAATACTGCAGTGTCAGGGAAGGACGGTTTACACTTGCATACGTTGCAGTGCAACGAGAGGTGCCCTCTAACCGGGGCACTAAGGGAGTAGTTATGCTCTCTAAGCCGATCGTTTAAACAACGTCCTGTCTGCCCGGCGTAACACTTATTACACGAGAGGGGGATCTTATAAACAATCCCCTCAGAGCATCTCACGAACGGTTTCGCATGTTTCTTTCTGCACTCTCCTTTTAGGTGCCCTTCCGCTCTCGCTACAATCCTAGAGCAAACCTCTTTAAGTGTGAGGGGGGCTGAAAACACCACCGGTATGTTATATCGGCTCCCGACCTTCTTTAGACTATGGGAGATTTTGTGGATATACGGGATCACTACAGGCCTTTTCTTTACTACGCTGGGCTTATCCGCCTGGGATCTTTTAGTCCGCTTCAATAATGCACTTGCAACGTCAGACAGTAACGCCGGTGTAAATCCTGCTGTTCGTAACCTTTGCACCTGTGTCCCAAAGCTCTCAGAAAGCGTGTGAGGGCACGACTTTTTCAAGGCTGCACCCAAGCAAGAGAGTGCCATGCCCCTCTTAATCAGTTTCGAATGAGCCGACCTGTAATCCAGACGGCCCTTCTTAGATCGCGGAGAGTTGCACCAACACATGTGACCCTCGCTGGAGCGGAGGGAGAGGTCAAGGTACTGGAGAACCCGTCCTTTAGGTACCTCCATAGTAAACCTGAGCCCTCCGCCACACTCCGCAATAACTGCCATCACCTCAGTCACAGACGTCCCGGTCACGCCCCCTCCGTCAAAGTCCTCGTGAAACACTGAAAAGTCATCGACGTATCTGACTACTTTTTTAACCTTGGTGTTGCATAGAGATCTCTCTATATCACGGTCTACTTCCGCCAAGAAAATGTCACTTAAAATGGGAGCCACACTCGAACCTATGCAAACTCCCACTTTTTGCAGAAAGGTCCGTTCCCTAACGTTTTGGTTCTCTGGATATGTATAACCTGTATTTATTCCATCCGCCCTATGTAATGCCCAATTCGGGCCCTTAAGGTGAAAATAAATTAAAATAATGAATGAATGAAGGTCGTTTGGACCAAGTCCAAACTTTTTTTCAGAGGCTCGAAGCTTATCGCACTTTTGAACTCCACAGTTTGAAAAGATACAATATTGTCAATAATGTCTAACTTTGTAGCGTTCGAAACTTGGAAGTTGGAAAATATTAAAATATTGTGGAGCGAAGAATTTGAAAGTTCGAAAATCGTCAAAGCTCTTAACGTTGCGGCGTTTGACTTCCGCCGCCCGCCGCAGGTGATCGACCAGACGACTCGTTCTGTGGACTTAGGCAGGGTTTATTACCATGACTGACAGGAGCCCGGACAAACCAAACAGTGAATGCCCCTGGCCCGGCTTGGCCGTCTTATTTATAGGCGGTTGTGAGAACCACCCCCGCCGTTGGTGTCGGCATTCGCCGTTGCGTGGCGGGCCGAGCGCCCCACAACGTAAAAATACGAAAGTTGAAAATTGTTCGAACTGTTCGAACACTAATGTTCAATCTTCGAGCTTCTTGCTAGAAAGCAAAGTTCCCTGAACACCCAATTAAAACCTACCACTTATGCGTGCTGAAAATATGAGTCATACAACAGTGGCTATGTTTAACAATAACCTAAGATATTTGGAATTTCAAAATGCCTAGACTGAGGTGTTAATTTCCAACTACAGTCATGTCTAGTGATTACGGACTATGGTAATATAGGTACCCCACTATATAGAAACCGATTTCGGGGACAAACTGGGAAAATACGTGCACTTTTGTCTAGTTGTTATGAACAACTCACATCATGGGCAATTTTTGGGGAGAACAGAGGTGCCCATATTGACGAGACATCACTGTATAACGTTTCAGTCACTTCATTCACCTGGCGCCATCTGGTCCAGGTGGCGCATCAGTATGTAGAGTGTTTCGGCAAGATACGAAGGTTTCGCTTAACGTGACTGCCCGCTCCACACTCTCAAGAAAAAAAAGGTGCAAAAGTGTGTGTCCTTACACCCTTTATCCCATAAAATACACCCCAAAACTTCATTTCGACGTACAGAGACCTATATTCGAACAGTCGGCCCCAAATTTTACAACGGCTTGATAACGGTGCGATATAACTTTTTTAAATAGTTAAAGTACGTATCAAAGATCACATAAATAAAACACCGAGTTTTTACAGTAGGGCAAAGAAAACCCCGATTATTTTTTTGTTGTTTTCACTAAAACGTACATCAGCTATTTTAATAAGTTGTACCACACGGCTATCAAGCGCCTCGGAAAATTTCGGGCCGTCTGTTTGACTGTATGGCGCTGTACCTCGAATTGAACTTTCGGGGTGTATCACATGGGATAAAAGGTGTAACGATACACCCTTTTACACCCCTTTTTCTTGAGAGTGCACTATCGAAGAAATGACCTAGGTATTTTTGTTTGCGGTTTCTGGACGAAACATTTGACGCACCAAGATGGGCAGGGCGTTGGACTCACCGTTTGCGGTGTTTCATCGGGTTGACTCTTCTTCTGATGCAGCGGAGAGGATTGAACACGGCCCGAGCGCGAAGTGAAATCATCTTGGCTGCAAGCTTTACAAGTGAGGACGGGTCGAATGCACGAGTGATAACGGAATATCGCGTGCGAGGCAACTGGGTATGGCCCCGTCCCGTGCTCTTGAAAAATAACACACTGATTCCCAAGCCTAAGGGGGGGGGGGGGGGGGGGGGGTAATGAGCTAAATTTATTTTTATGCCATTTGATGGCGATAAAGGCAGTACGAGTAAAGCAACACATCCGCAATAAATGGGGTCTACAAATGTGAAACATCCCGGAAAAGCTTTTTTTATTTATTTTTATTTCAACAACCGGCACGTCGATGAGAAGTTATCGTACCCTACATCCGAACCTCTACATGCTTTTTGCGCTCATTCTTCAATCGAATGACTTTGCTATATGGCGTTTTTACTTCTTTCTTTTTTTTCCCAATGGACGAGACCGCGCTACAGAAGCTCGCACTTTTACATACACTCTATTTTACGTTTTGTCCAACCGAAGCCAACGCTACGGTCCGATGAAGCCAATAAAGCAGTTCCAAAAGTGTATTGTCATGGCGCTGGTTATTTTTTGAGCGTTTCTTGTCACCGGTTAAGCAAATCACTAACAGAAGAAAGCGCAGGATCATGCTTCATTCACACTTCGTGATTGCTTTAGCCGAAAGCAGCAAACGCACAAAGTCGTCGAGAGCGGTGATTGTGTACTTTCTGTTGCTGCGGGATCGATTGGGTTAGTGCTCCTGTATAGAAGGTATTCACTAGACGCCATATTTGAGGGCGATGTTTAGAGCGCATGCTCAGAACGAGCTCACATTAATAGCCTGCTAGGAGCGGCAACCTTGATGCTGCTAAATGCACGCTCCAAAAGGACTGCGGAAGCTCGCCGTCAGCACGCGCTCAGCACACACTAAACTTTTTTACACCCCTTAGGGGTGTAAAGCACTTGTCCCAGGACGAGCACCCTTTGAGGGTGCAAACGAGCACCCCTGTACCAAAGCACCCTATAGGGGTGTGAAGTGTATGGGGTGCTAGGTGCAATGCACCCCAATCCAAGGGTGCTTATGCTGATTTGAATGGGCGCTCGAGGATGATTCATTCTAATCGAAATAGACTTTTGTAAAACAAAACTTATCTTATTTACACAGATGATCTCGTTACAGATGAGCACTTAGCCAAGCCGACACTTTGTACAGGCAGGCTGGCACTAAAAGTGGACTATTATCTAAAATTAGTTGATTAACTTTTTCAATTACTGGTTCGACAGCTGTTGCGAACTTGAAGACAATCACCTCCTTAAACCAGTCAATTTTTTATAAATCCTGAAACGAGCACACAGGCCAAAAAAAGAGAAAATATAATTTCACCAAAGGCAGCGGTAATGTAGCGGTCCAGAAAGTACTGTATCTCACAACCCATTTTGTGTGCAAGAATCTTTCTCAATCGTTTTTCTAAGGTTAGTGCTCATTTCACGAAAAATAAGCTGGTCTAAGGTGACTGCCCCATTTTCACAATATGTGCTGGTGTCATCAAATCAGTAACTAAAAGGCTAATCCATGAATTTTATGCAATAAGTCCATTTTTAGCTGTCATCTTGCCTCTATAAAGTGTCTGCCAGGACAACTATAACTCAACTGTAAAAAGATAATTTGCATAAAACAGAAGTTTTATTTTACAAGAATCTGTTCCGAATAGAATGAATCACCCTGTATCTCAGCATCTGTCAAACAGGGTTCACTATACCAGGCATGACAACCAGAAAACCACGAAGTATGCAGACCAGATAAGTGATGAAATAAGGAGATGCAAAAGTACAGTGCCAGCATAGGACCTCGTTACAGAAACTGGATTCATTATTTGATATGTGTGCAATGCATCGGCACACATGCTACTGAAACAGCTGTGCATAGATGCACTGTCCGATAATGAAGGCAAGATGTGCATGGCAGAAAAGGTAATATTTCAATGTGAAGCTTAACTTATGTGCAAACGGAAGTTACAGAAAAATCTTGCGTGATTTAAGTTTTAGTTCCCACAAAATTTGGAAGGAAAATAAAAAAATATCACAGAATTTGCTCCATGGCTAAAGCTTCTGAATTTATTAATTGCTCGATGGTCTTAATACTCGTATACTAGAAAAGATCAGTGGGAGATATTCTCAAACATCATATTAAAGAAGGAGTCTGCCACCAATCTCAATGTGTCATTAAAAGTGTCCAATTGTCAAACTGCCAACACAGAAGTGTGATATGCATCACATGCATGATCAGCACTTGCTCATGCAAACTATGCAATGTGAGAAAGTGTATGGTACAAACAAACAACAAGGAGCTTAGCTTGTTCAATCCGGATACTTGGTCCTTGCATCCCGCTCTGGATCGTCGGTCATTTGCCTTGCATACGAGGTGGTTACGAGTTGTCATACTTGGTATGCCGTAGTACCTTTACACATTCGCCCAAGGCATGGCGAGTGGCATCAGCTGCATACAAACAGCATGTGATTAAGCTGCAAGTAAATAAAAGTTGTTATAAAATGAGAAACAAAAAACTGAAAGGAAAACTATATTAATAACTATTTATTGAGCTATTATGCGACCACAAAAAAATAATGAGGTATGTCCTCCACACACATATCAAAATACAATACTTGAGGCATTCTATCAAATATCACAGCATATATAGGCCTAGATGCTAGTAAAAATCGAGAAACAATTGGGGGGTTTGAGTCAATAAAAGCCAAATTAAATGAATAATCATTTATTGAACTATTATGTGAGCACAACAAAATAACCAGCTATGTCCTCCATACAAATAACCAAATATATTTTCTTTAAATATCACAGCATAGGCTTAAGATGCTAGTAAAAATAAGAAAAAAAACAAAAATCAATACAGATTACCTCAGTACATGAGAATGGTTCTTGATAAAAATGACTAGAACAGAAGAACAATCTAGATGCCTTCCGTTTCGAGTGTATACTTTTTGTTCCATTGCACATGTGACTTTCATTCAGGACCCTAAAGTTGCATAAAAATTAAGCTACACTTCTTTTAGTTTAGGGCTTAAAACATTAAAACAAGCTACCATATTTTCCCGACTATAGTACACAATCCGTTGTATAATGCGCAAGGGTAAATTTCGGCTAAAAAGAAAAAGTATTTTCTTAGATAGTCCGCACTCGGTGTATAGTCCTCGGGGAAAACTTCAGGCTGGAGAACTCCACAAAAGGGATATCTGCAGATGAATATCAGGGGGCTTTCTTTGATCCGCTCGTCAGCCAATCGCAGAGCTCCTCAAGATTAAGCTTGACCTGAGTTGGTTGCTTGCAGGCTCCCAAGCAAACATGTCAGATGCGAGGTATCGAAAGCCTGGGAAACAGACTGACGGTAAGAGGTTGTCTTGATTACTTTATTCCAGCGTAAAATATCCAAAACACAGCCTCTGGCCTAACCAGTTTTGTAATAATGAACAATCTTGAAACAAAAATTGTAGAGTCCACACCTGTAGATAGCTGTACAGTTCACACTGAAAGAATAAAAACACAGAAAATACACGAGGGACAGACACACACAGTTCTTTCAACGAGCAACTACATTTAAATGATGCCCATTACACTATGATGAACCACCTAGGATATGAAGAAAATTAAGTGAAGACGAAAATACTAGAAGGTACTAGAAAAAGATAAAGAAAAAGGTAAAGATGGCGGAAATTTAACTTCCTAAAAAGAAAGAAGAAGAGAAACGGGAGATGTTTTCTATGACAATTCCGGCGCTAGGAAATCCATCTCTGCTGTCGATAACGATAGTGAGGGCTCAGAAACATTGTCTGTGGCAGTTTTGATCTTAAAGGCTTCGATGATCTCTCGCCCATACTTGTCGTTGTGTGAGCCTAGCACAGTAGTGTTTGCATAGCTAGGAGAGCAATCTTGGCAGGTGCGGGCGTGGACAACAATCGGATGGTAGGAGTCGGATGACGCCTTGTTGGTTTCAAGAAAGTGTTCTCTAAGGCGAACGTTTAGGCATCGTCCCGTCTGGCCAATGTATTGACTGCCACAACTGAGCGGAATAGAATAAATTGGCTTCTCTCGGCATTTGACGTATTTGTTGACGTGTTTGATGGTGCATTCTGGTGGACGACTGTCGTTATTTACCCTTTGGCACATTTGTTTTAGCTTCATCCGACATGTGAATACTACCTTCGTATCGAAGCGGGCAGCGAGACTCCTCAGGCGGTGGGAAGTATTATGCACATATGGAACACAGGCCGGGCGTGTGTGGCTGCGTCCATTGTTGTTAGATGATCGGTGGTTGGGCCCTGTAATGAGACGCTGAAGGGTAGTACGGAGGAGGTCTGCTGGATACCCGGCTCGGAGAAGCCGGTAATGCTGGCGTTGGACGCTTGTTGATGAGAGATGGGGACAGGATTTTGAACGGGAAGAGGCAAACAGGGTTCGAATAATTCCAAGCTTTACCACTTTAGAGTGGTTGCTGCAGAAAGGGAGGACCGGTTTTTTGGAACGTTGCTGGAAACTCCAGCATATGCCTTGGCGATGAAGATGAAGCCTTAAATCCAGATACTGGAGTCCCTCTTCTGTTGGTTCTTCATTCGTAAACCTAAGACCCGACGAGCAGGAATCGAATGCTTAACAAATGGCCCGTGAGGAGATTGAGGTCGGATGAATAACAAGATAGTCGTCTACGTATCGAAACACTCGGCATTCGGGGGCGAAAACATCCACTCGGGACTTAATTGATCGGTCTACGTACATGACAAACACTTCACCGAGTATTGGGGCTAGGCAGGAGCCTATACAAACACCCTTCTTTTGTCTTAATATGTTGCCGTTGTATTCAACGAGAGTTGACTGAAGGTATAAGGCAATGAGATCTGTGAAATCCTTAGCTGTGATCCCTGAGGTATTTTGAAACTTACAGAGACCATGTTCATGGATCGCATCAGACACGGAATTCAAGAGAATCTGGGGGTCTAGGCTGCAGTAAAGCTCTTCTATGTCTAAAGAAAA